ATGACAATATCCCCATCTTGTAGAACAATACTTATGCCTGCATAAATTGGCAGGAGAGAATCTATTTTATTTTTTTATTATTAAAAAGATCTTCTCATGGTCACCTCTATTAATCATCCTGTTGATATATTTTTTATAGATCTAAGTAAAATTGCTTTTTTGCAAACTTGTCTTCTATAATTTGACACAAATCCCATTTATGTTTAGTTTAGCCTCTTTTAAATGTCTTAATGATTGATAGGTTAGAATTAAAATGAAGGGTAATGAGTTTTGATTTACAAATACGTTCACAAAAAGAGACAGGATCAGGACTTAGTTCAGAGCCATGAATCTGTTTGGAATCGAGAAAATTTTAAGAAATATTTAGAAATTGAGTTTTCTTCAGTTTTCTTTGGTCAGAAATCTGTTCAGAGATGATAATCTCTCTTGAATCTGGAATCTTTAAAAATATGGAAATCGGTTCAGCGTAAGGAATCTGTCCAGAGTTAGGAATTCAATCTGAACTCTGCTTAATAAAAAGAATCTAACTCAAAGAAGAATGGTGTTAAAAAACAAACAAACAAACAAAAAAAAAACATCTGAATCAGGAATTTATGTAGTGTCAGAATTCTGAATGGAATTGGTAACTAATTAGAAAAAGTTCTTTTTTCCCCATTCTCGCGTATTCATAACACCCCCAATCCCCTTCCCCCAAAGTCAATATTTCATAGAACAACATTTTGTTGCAATTACAGCAGCAAAATGTTTGAGGTATGCCTCTACCCGGGCTGCACATCTAGAAACCTTTTCTTAACTTTTAAGCAGAACAGCTGTTCTTCAGTCATATTGGCTGGAGACCATCTGAACAGTTCGATTTTAAAACCTTGCTTCAGATTCTCCATTGCAGTAAGGTTTGAGCTATTCTGACTGAAATAATGGCGGTTGCATCATGGCCCAGGGTTACTTTTTATTAGATGGATCTTCTGTAGATTTCTCAATGATGCTAGCCCAGATTTAGCCAGTGTGTTCCTTTGTTTCCATGATGCTGTGTGTTCGCTGTTTTCTAACAAACATGTGAGGCCTTCACAGAACAGCTGGATTTAGACTGAGAATAAATTAAATTCAAGATACTAAATACACTGGAAATCTGGGATTTATGCTTGGAAAACAATCTAATAAAAATTATATCCACATCTGTTCCATCACTTTGTGATGGGTTACATAAAGTAAAGTGAGGTTTGTAGTTGTGAGGTGAAAAATGTGGAAAAGCTCAAGTAATATGAATACTTTTGAAGGCACTGAGGTTATGTCACATTAAAGAGCCCCTGTGGGCTCTTTAAATATTAACTATAAAAAAGAATAAATTAAAATAATAATAATAATAATAATAAAAACATGTCAACTCATGCAGACCATTTTAAAACTCAAATTGTTGAGTTATGTTGACACACTTAAATTTACATTTCATGGAACT